CTTTGTTTATTCAGTTTGTTCGTATCTAACAAACTATTGCACAGAGTGTAAACACGTTAGCACCACAACCAAACTTTAACCTCGTGTTGGGTTTTTACCGCATTTAGTGACCGGAATAACACACGTGGCTTTCTGACACTACCTGTCGTGTGCATCTAAGTTTCTGGGAAATGCAGAGGTTTTTTTTCTCTCATTCGCCGTGCGGTATAAAACATTGCATGAAAAATACACGCTTAGAGCAGTTCCTCGAACCAAATATCTCGTGTGTTGCGAGGGGCATGAATGAATTCCCTGAATGAAAGAGCCAAACTGCAGTTAAAGTCCACCATTTAATAATTTGGCTAATAATTCGACTACAGATGTCCATGTAGGTTAAACACCATCACATTCTCCTGTATGTATGTGTGTGTGTGTGTGTGTGTGTGTGTATTTTGACTATGAAACTCGCGCGTGCCCAAATCGACACTCCCACACCCTCCCACTTTAGTTCCTCCGACACTCCCCCCTAAACAGAGCTGGACACGCCCACTTTTCTGACTTTTTCCAAAGAAGAGGTGTGAAAACACCCTGCTGAAACGAGGGGGTTTCATGGCCCTTTAACAGTTTTCATTCAAAAGTTTAAATGTATAGCATGAAGCTGCATCAATTCATAATGAATTAAAATCATTAAAGGGGTGGTCCACTACGATATTATATTTTAAACTTCAGTTGATGTGTAATGTAGCTGTGTGAACATAAACAGCATCTCTGAATGTAAAATATTCAAAGTTTAATGCAAAGGGAGACCTTGATTTGTACAGAGTTAGCTTAGCAACGCCTACAATTAACGAATTTTGGGGACTACAAAAAATACTTCCGCCCCCTGTGAGATCACAAAAGTTCGTTATTGCGCATCCCACACTGCGCAGGTAAAGGCCGTGGCCAGAGGCGCTGTAACGTTACTGCAGAGAGAGAAATGCCATCCTGCTGTTTCCACAGAGCTGTTCTGTTTCTGTTGTTGGGCTTCCAAATGACACGACCCAAACACAGAAGTGCTTACAGTTCAATATTAATTATGTTCCAGAGAACTATAAAATACATAGCAAGCATGATTTGACAAAGCACAGCTTCCAGAATCTCTCCCAGTTCAGTGCTGGATTCAGTTAAAATCTCCTCAAAGATGGAGCAAGGAGACGCTGTGAACTCTGAGTCATGACCTGTAAGTGTTTTTATTTGTTAAAATTGATCATGACATGTACAGTGTCTAACTTTAACGGTGTGTTGTAGCAAAGATGTAAACAACGGGAAATTATGGTAACCGCTAACGACTTAGCTAACGTTACAAATCCATATTTATCAAACGGCTGTAAACGCACACACACACATACACATACACGCACTCTTGGCCAGCACCTGCGTCTCTCTGTGTGAGACGGCAGAATTTCTCTCTATAGGCAGCTATGCTATGCGTTTTACAACTCGGACAATAAAGTCGCAAAAGATATGTGAACGATTCATGTTACTTACACAGGCATATTCCGCATATGCATGAAAGACGTCCTGTAACGCATTGATTTAAAAAAAATACAGCAATGATTTCCCAACTGGAGTGTAACATCAAAAACAAATCAATCCAGGCTCACAAAGGTCTCATCTCACATCTTGTGCTTTATTCTGTCACCACAGAAAATAACTTAATCCGAGCATGAGAGAAAAAGAACAATAAAAATCTCTCCCGCGCACATGCGCTTCTCGTGTTACAAATACTTCATCGTATACACGCATAAACACACTAAAAGGCACAGAAACAGTTAAAGGAGCCGCATCCCATTTTCACTCGTTACAGACACGTGTTGACTGACTGACTGACTGACTGTTTACACAAAACGCGCGTGCTTGTCAGGGCGTGACGTGAAGCCGATCGGCGTATCACAGCATATTATGATGATGACCAATCAGAGTCACTTGAGGGTGGGCCTTTTAGAGGAACTAGGAAATATGACAGTCGTTTTCATGTTAGCTGAGTAGCTGTGTATAATCAAAGTGAGATTTATGAAAAAATAACACGATTTCCTTCAAGTTAAACATGAGCACACATTGCTTTGCATCTTATTAACACAACCAAGCCTTAAAAATAACATTCTGGACCACCCCTTTAATAATTTTAAATCAAGCACCTTGTAATTCACCCCAGCATATGTAGTGCCAAAAAAGTGCTTATTGTACTTAACATTTCACTTAAATTTCAAATTTACATTAAAATGTCAGTAACAATTTTTTGACTGTGTCATTTTTCGAAAATGTAGACTTTTACATAGATTTAACGTTTCGTAGTTTTCATGTCATGTTCAAAGAGATTTAACACAATTTATGAACTCAATAGTGGTCATATTCAAATCCATTTTCTGAGAAATTGATAAAATGTATTATTTGTCACAGTTCCTATATAAGATTTAAATTTAAGTCTTTCAAATTAAGAATTTATAAGTTTTTGAAAGCAGCACAAAACAATTGTTGAAATGAAACCATAAACTTTCAAATTTAATCACTTTCAAGGACCTATGTTTGTTTTTAGGTACTTTCCAGGCCTTTAATTTATGTCTGAAATTAAAGTATTTTTATGAAGCATGAGCACCCAGACATCAGAAAGATTTAAAAGCTTTATAAAGTTCACAAAAACAATGGCAGTCTGCAGCACCACTGTTGATGGTATTTGTTATGGTTTGTACTAGTTAAAAAAGTTAAAAAATATGACCACTCAGCAATTGTTTCACTTCAAATATATATTTTTTTCAATATGGTCAAGTGCTCACTATTGGCAGTCATATGATGGCTCACAGAGATGGACTATTTTTCTAAATAAATTTGTATTCATTTTGTTTATGGATCTGAAAATGATACATTTGGAACAGCAAGAGGGAAAACATTTTTGTGCGATTTATCCTTTTAAACACAAATGGATGGGAGCATGAAGTATTTTCGGCCATTGCGTTTTCAGACACCAAACAGAAGAAAACAGGTGGAGAGTTACCTGCTGGCACTGAGAGCTGAGCTGGTCTCTCTCTGCAGTCAGTAGTTTAACTCTGGTCTGGATGTCCTCCATGTGCTTTTCAAAGCCCAGCAGCACTGACTGCAGCTCATCCCTCTCTTTCACTACTCGCGAGAGCTCTGCATCTCCATCTCTCTAGAAAAACAAAATACTCATTTCGTTGTTTCCTAGCACAACTGTCTGTAATATTTTAATGTATCGATTTTGAGATTCATAATACTTTGATACTTTCTGTAATAATTGGCTATATTACATAAACATGTAGTTAGGTCAAGGATTACAATGAGAACTCTGAATTATGAGTGCACATTTTAACTTAAACTGTGTAATCTGACTTTCAGGCTCTGCTTAAACCATGTCTCACCCAAGTAGTTATAGAAATAAGTGCCTCTTTCACCTTTCCATGCCAGCTGCCTCTTCCTCTGGGGCTCCTCCCTCGGCCTACAGGAGTGGGGCTTCTGTCTGTCCTGCCCCTAACCAGACGGTATCGCTCCACCTCTTCTCTGTAATAATTCCTTTCCTCCTCTAAACTCTTAACAAAGGCATCCAGACGCGATGGAGAGTGATCCTTGCCACACATGCCATGCCTCGCCCGCATTCTCTCCAATTCTAAAACCATCTCCTTGTCTGAAACAAACACAGTACTAAAATTAAAAACACAACAAATCATAAACAAATTCAAATCTTTTTAATCACAATTAAAACATAAAAAGAAGTGCAATGTCTCACCTTCCTGCATCATTGCTTCTATTTTGTCTTGAAGTCTTTTTTTATCTTCTTCCAGAAAGTGAATCAGTCCCTCCATCTTGTTGTTTTGATCTTGAAGATCAAGTAGCTGATTCCTCAGTTGATCTTTTACATGATCTCCATCTGCCATATCCTGCGACAATTCATAGTGAGCTTTTAAATAACTGAGTCTAATAGACTTTAACAAAGAAATATGCATGTGGATAACTTTGCCTGCAGAAGCCAACTATTTTTTTTTTGGACATGTGACCAGAGAGGTCATGGATTGGTGTAATACAAATTAGAGTTTATGGAAGCGCAATGTGGTGCAAATAAGTGATTCTTTATTAATCAATTAATAAACAGTTTATTACTATTGATTATTGAATATTTCAAAAGGAAAAAAAAGTTTAAGCTTATTTTTAGAAAAACAATGATAGTCTTCTTTGTTTACACTTGGATAATTCATTCATTTATTCATTTTCTTTTCGGCTTAGTTCCTTTATTAATCTGGGGTTGCCACAGTGGAATTAACCGCCTACTTGTCCAGCATATGTTTTTATGCAGTGGATACCCTTCCAGCTGCAACTCATCTCTGGGAAACTATACTAGGATCATTCAACAGCAAAACTATAAAAAATGTCATATCCTTCTTACCACTTTTAAGACTAATGGAAGAACTTTCTCATATTTAATCTTTACACAGATATGGTAAAACAACTATTTAAAAAGTACATTTAAAGCTTATGTTTATTTTTATATACTGTTTTATGTCCTGGAGGAGCTATATTAAACCATTCATGTCATGTCAGGCAAGACAGGACAAATGTGCTGTTCAGAAACAGATGGTAATTTAACAGTACATTTGACATGCTGCCGTGTGTGGACTCATGCACATACTCGTCTTAATGTAGAGATGACCTCCTCCTGGCCCTCAAGCTCCCGCTGCTGACGCTGAATTGCTTTCTAGAGACAAATCAAGCATTATTACACATAGCTAAAAATATGAAATTAAGTTTCTAGACAAAATATTCAGACTAAATAATAATGTTATAATTATTAATTAACATAAGTATCATATTAATAATGAAAGCACTGTATTTTAAATTTATCATAGAAAACATAATACCTCCACGAGTGCCCTAAACTATTTTAAGCAAATAAAACAAATATTTAAAACAATAAAAAATATCTATTTAGACTAATTTAAATTACTTAAGACACCAATGCTGATTTTATAAAACTACAAAAACATATACTATTATACAAAACCAAATTTAACTGTTTAATTTCAATTTACAATGATTTGTAAAAACAAGTGTTGAATGGAAAAAATGTTTTGTTAAATGTCCATCACATCTGTGGTGCTCACCAATAGGACCACAGAAACTCTTCTGTGCACAGCTTTCAAACATGGGCAAAAAAAGAGAGACAATGGTACCAGTGCTGCTAGTTAAAATTCTGCAAATGGAGAAAATGTTAATGGCAGCCAGCAATAATTCTGCCTTTATGATGTTTCTGCAAAGGTTGCCAAAGCTAAATCAACTTGTACACGTTTCTTGTTATAGAATGAACAAAAATTTAGAGGTCAAAAAATTACATAATCATAGTTTGAACCAGCATTAACTTATTTAATTCCCACAACTGGTTATTATAGACAGTCCAGCAATCACCTTGGCTTCTTGCAGCTCCATGTCAGCAGTCTCCAGCACCATCTCCTTGTCTTTCTCCAGCTGCTGGGCGAGCTGGTCTATCTGAGTAAGCTCCTGACACAACTCCTGATTTCTAGCGCTCAGGTCAGCCACCTCACTGGACACGGTCTTCTTCTTTTGCTGCAGGCTGTCGACTCTCTGCTCCAGGGATCTGTTGGTCTCCTGCAGATACTCTATCTGAAAGAGGAAATAATTTATTATCAGACAGACAGGGTTAACATTTAACTGCAGAAAGATAGAAGTGAAGGACATGAGTCTGAATTCTTAAATGTACTTTGTCTGAAGGTTCTAATCAGACCTCTGAGATATAAATCCATGCAATTCTAAAAGAAATATCCAGTTTACCTGCAGGTTCAAGTGAGCAATAAGCTTTTCATTGCTGATGTTTTGAGCCTCCAAGGAGATGACATCATGAGGCCGGCCACCATCCAGAGCTCGATTCAGACGTTCAATTTCTTTATCTCGCTCTTCCACCTGTGCAGAGCATGAGCAAATTTTTAAAGAGTGCATGAATAAATGTGTTAGAACTGTTAAAACAATAACAGACTTGGCGTTACTATTTTCAATAGCACATTTGAAAGTTCTAATTTATATGATTACTTGGGGATTAAACAAGTGTAAGAATTACATTTAGTTGCATGTTCATCTCAATAACTATTCTCAAATGAAAAACAATTTGCTCATTGAAATATTAAGAGCACTACATAATAAGTACTCAGCATTTATGTAGTATTCAAATTAAAGCACACACTCTCACCTGTTTGTTGAGATGTTTGATTCCTCCCTGTGCTCTCTCAAGGTCGAGCTTGAGCTGTGCCACTTCTTTTTGAAGCTCCTGTATCCTAAACATGTATTTTATTATTAATATAAAAACTTGAAAAGATTTTTAGTAAATATAATTTACATTACTACATTTTGTTTGTATTTTAACCCAGGTAAAGTGGAGCTGTTAAAATGAATGTGTTAGCTCATGCGATTTCTACAGTATGATGACACATGAATAAAGAAATGCTTAGTTAAATTAATGCTTCTTATTGTACATTTTTCTAGATAGATTTCATGCTTATGATGATTTTAGAATTATGTCTGCTAAAATAAATGCCAACTTATAAACACTAATTAAAATGTTTATTTAATAAAAATTTAAACATGTTTTTCTTTCCTTTAACAACAAATGCATTGAATGAAAAGCAATTGATTTATCATGATTAGCTGTGTCCTCCCACACCTGTCATCAGCCACCTGAAGAAGGTCAGCGATATAGGGATCATCTGGCTGAGCAACAGCTGGAGGGACATAGCCACCAGAGGATGGGAGGAGTTCATCTGTCTGCATCCTTTGCCGTCTAAATGGGATCGATCGCTTCTTTCCTCCTATTTAAATTAGTCAATGACCATAAAATATTCCAACAGTAACAAACATATAAAGGTCAACAATATGTGTGGATGTACGAAGATATATGCATCAACCAACCTGGTGTCTGCACAACAGCTTGCATGTTCTTCTCCTGCAGCTGTAGGATGCGCTCTGTCTTGCCATTGCTGTCCTTCTCAAGGGACCGAACTTTCTGCACATACTGATTATTAAGGAATTTCAGATCGGATGTTTCATGGTCCAGTTTCCTGATGTACGCCTTTAACTCTGTTAATGGAAAATAGTGAACATTATAACCGTTCCCTTTGGTTTAAAATCTGTCTGCAACTGTGTTTGAGGGATTAAATTTGACCCACACCCCTGCTGATCCGATCCTTCTCTTCTCTCAGTTTCAAAAGCCCAAGGTGCATCTCGTTGTTTTCTTTGACTAGCCGGGCATTTTCTGTTTTATATGGCTCCAGAATAGCATCCACATTGCGGCTCTCCTTTTCTGTCTTACCTGCAGCAAGCTTGGCATTCCTGAGACTCTCTGTGGTGTGGATCAGGTCACTGAGATACAAATCAAAACTGACTGATTATGCTTTTAACATATCATGTTGCACATAGTACAGTAAATACAGTTGAAACCAGAAGTTTACATACACTCTAAGAAAGGAACATAACCTTTTTTTTCCTTTAGGATTATCTAAATGAGTTACATTTTCTAAATGCCAGAATAATGAGAGTAATAATGTTTATTATTATTATTATTAAGTTTTTTTATTAATTTCTATACAGTCAAACATTTACATACATTTCCTTGGTAGTTTTTTAGCTTTGCTTTTAAACTGTATAACTTTGGTCAAATGTTATGTGTATCCTTCCACAAGCTTCTTACAATAGTTTGAAGAAATTTTGGCCCATTTCTCCAGACAGAATTGGTGTGACTGAGTCAGGTTTGTAGGTTGATTTGTCTTGCTTGCACAAGCTTTTTCAACTCTGCCCACACATTTTTTAGTTTGAGCTTAGGGCTTTGTGATGGCCTCTCTAAAACATTCACTCTGTTGTCCTTAAAGCAAATTTTAGCTAATGTGGCAGTATGCTTAGGGTCATGGTCTGTTTGGAAGACCCATTTGTGGCCAAGTTTTAATTTCCTGGCTGATGTCTTGAGATGTTGCTTCAGTATTTCTACATAATGTTCAAACTTTATGATGCCATCTATGCTGTGAAGTGGGCCAGTCCCTCCCACAATATGATGCTGCCACCCCCATACTTCACAGTTGGGTTGGTGTTCCTAAGCTTGTAAGCTTTCCCTTTGTCCTCCAAATGTAACACTGGTCATTATGGCCAAACAGTTCAATATTAGTTCCATTAGACAGCAGGACATGTCTCCAAAAATTATTCTTTTTCCCAGTGTTTTTTTTTTTTTTTTTTTGATTCTGGCTTGTTGATTTTCCCATGTTGTCACAAAAGGAAGCAGTGTGTTTGAGGTTTTCCTAAAATACTATTCTACTGTTGTGCCTCCAGTTAACTCAAATGTAGTCAATTAGCCAAGCAGAAACTTCCAAAACCTTGACAACATCATCTGAGCTTTGTCAGAGGCATAATAATCTTATTGTATGTAAACTTGACTTTCAAGAGAAGTTATAACAATTTCTTTAAAAACATCTCTCTCATTATTCTGCTATTAAGCATAACAGAAACTAATTTGATAATCCTAGAGAAAAGAGAAAAGGTTTAGTCACATATTAACATCTGACTTTTAAAAATGGTTATGTGCCTTTTTATACAGTTTATGCAAACTTCTGGTTTCAACTGTATTATTATATTTTAATCAGCATTTATTTGATTTGTTACCCCAGACTAGTGCTTTTATTGTTTAATCACCCTCATGTCATTCCAAACAAATGAGAATTTTGAACATTTTTGAAAAACAAGTGAAGACAATTTTATTGAAATCAGTTTTGTAAATGTCAAGCGATCATGTCTTATCAGAAGACTTAAACCACTTGAAAATGCTATGTGACTTGCAAGAATGAAAATGATTGATTTTAATAAAAAGTGCTTTGATTTGTGCTCTAAAGATACATGAATATCTTATGGGTTTAAAATGACATGTTGGTAAACGATGATAGATTTAAGTATCAAAGAGTTTTGAGTTAACTCCTCAAAAACTTTAAAAAGTTTTTTTGATGTACACCACATTTCATGAACTATTTAGAAATAATCTGTAAAATTATACACAAATAATCATATGTATGTATGGGTGATCTGTGTCAGTACTTGATGTGACCCAAAAGATAAGCCTCTTTAGTCGTGTGTAGTTGAGCTCTTGTTCACCTGAAGAGTTTCTCCACCAGTGGCAGACTCTCGATGGCCAGCGGCTGCCTGTAGCCCAGCTGATCCAAGCGCTTCCGCAGATTGATGAACTTCCGCTCTGCGTTGGTCGTCATGGTCATTCAACACAAATACGCGCTCCGCTCTACAAGCAAAGTGATTCACATGTCAACAACAGATTTAACAAAGACCTTTTACATCTTCTTATCTTATACTTTCATCGTTTGCCGTGTATTGAAACCTATGCGCTGCCAAATCAGACAGCACTTTTGGACGCATTGGCAACATTCTGTAAGCTAACTACGTTTTAAAACGCGACCACAAAACTACAGCAAATTATTTAACATTAACTACGACACATACAGAAATGCCCCGTTTTCATAAAGCGTACTTAACGTACACCGATGTTTGTAGTTGTTTAAGTGCGCTGTCAATTTGTTATCAGTGCTCTAGTCTTCATTCTGCAGCTCTGACATACGCAGCTTCTCCACCACACAAAAATAAAGCATTAAGCACAATAAGCAGACAGCACAACAGTCCACCTCACTTGCTGTTCGTTGTTTGGATAACACTTCTCGGCGTTTTCATTGTGTAAAATGTTTTTTTCGGTTAGCTAATCATCAGTGTGTGCTGCAGATTTCCTCCCCTCCCCGCGGTGAATGGTCTTCCGGTGGCGGTAACACTGCTTGAAAATGGCGCCGAGGAGAAAGGAAAGACCACAGTCCTGCTCAAGTGCCGTCAAACTGGAACCTGAGAAACAGCGACATTTAGTGGACGTTGAGTAGTAAACGGTATAAAAAAAGTGATCACAACTGCTTTTACTCATGTAAATTCAGTGCAATTATAATTGAACATGTAAAGTCAGACCTTTCCCCATGGGAACAGTGTATTGAACCTTTAGACAAAAACTCAATCCTCTTATGTGCTTTGCATCATTTTTAATAAATCAGGTGCTTTGCCCATTTAGCACGATTGCCTATTTTTTAGCAAACTATTGGAGGAAAAACACACATTTTATTTAGGAGCACAAACTGAACAAATATAACGTTATACTTTCATGCATTTGTTTATCATACATGTTTATGTTTACAGATTACATAAATAATTGCATATAAATATCTGTTACAATCACTCTATCATCTTCCAACAATATTATCAATACATAATATATGATGAGGCTACATGGTGGCTCAGTAGTTAGCACTGTCGCCTTATAGCCAGAAAGTTGCTAGTTCGAGTCCCGACTGGGTCAGTTGGCAACTCTGTGTGGAGTTTGCATGTTCTCCCCATGTTAGCTTAGGTTTCCTCCTGGTGCTCCGGTTTTCCCCACAGTCCAAATAGACAATTTTGAGGAATGTAAACAAAAACAATGGCCCCAATTTATTTCCTGTTTTACATTTTTAATTTATAGAGCTTCCGAGAACCCAAAAAGAGCCACATATTGATAAATTATGTTATGATAGCTGTTTTAACATTACATTATGATTAAATTGCCTTTTACAGTTCGGAAATAATTTGCTAACCAGCAGGAAAATTTCATGGGCCAAAGACATCACTACATTGAAATGGTCTATAGATGAATTGAATGAACTAAATTTGCCAAATAGCGTATGAGTGTGAATAAATGTGAGGATGTTTCCCAGTACTGCGTTGTGGCTGGAAGGGCATCCACTGTCTAAAACATATGCTGGATAAGTTAGAAGGAAAATGAATTAATCAATATATTGATATTATATTATTATAGCATTAAAATATAATATTATAATATCAATATTACAATATTCTACTTTTAAATATATTAAAATTTTATAATATTTTCTGTACTTTAATGGGAAGAGGTAGTCACTGCAGTATTTCTGTTGTTATATGCTGGTGTGTGTTGTGAATTGTGTAAATCTATTTAACCTGCAAAACAAGTTACCCCAAAAGGGGACAATAAAGTTTACAGAAACCGTAACAATGTCTCAGTAAGACAATGTTGAAATGCTTGGTTTTATGATCAAAACATATAATGCAGTGCAATGATTGCAGCATCATCCGACCAAAACAGCTCGTTTCGTATTGTGCATCATTCCAATAGTTCAATTATTTTTGTGCTCTTTAGTGGACTTCAGAGAGACAGAACTAACAAATTTGTAGAACGCACTTTAAATTACTGTACTTATAGCATGTACTTACAATGTTACTTAAGAAGAAACATAAGGATATGTTAAGTTTAGGTTTAAACGCAGGTTTGGGGGTTAACTATTTGTTACTTAGTTTATGTAATGTGTGTACACACAAACAGTGTTATGCATTTATAAAAAAAAAAATTAATTATTATATTGTTGTTACTATTTTATTTATCTTGGGACTTAATACAGCTTTTTATAAGTTGCTACTTCAGAATACTTTTGTTACATCTGAGAACAGATTTTATAACATCTGACAGTTTAGTGTTTGCTACTGTGATATACTGTGACTATATATCACAGATATTTTAGACTATAGATATGTTAGGTCAAACACACTTATGTTTAAGACATTAAAATGCTTTCTATACATGCTTGTATAATATTAATAGTTGCATTATAATAACTGATTATTTCATTCAGCTGATCATGTGGTCATTTCTCAATAAGAACCTCATCTCAAGGGCCATGTGTGTTTTTTTCAATTGGAAACTGGAAAGTCTACACAACATATAAAATGATACAGAAGAAATCACTTCTGATATAGAACAGTAGACTATATCGTGCGTTGCTGTTACAACTTTATACTAAATAATGTCTTTTTTTGATGTGAACAGGCTAAGACAGGCCTGTGTTTAAAATGACCTCGTGAGAATGTGTTTTATTTAAATAAATGTGTCAAATCTTTTTAATTAGCAAAAAATCAGTCTTTCAGTCTGTAATTATTTTAGACTGTGACCTGCACTTAGAGGCTTGAGCATTCATCAAATTAAAAGGGTATATATTTAGAAAGTGAAATGTTAGGGAATCGTCTGTTTTTATTGTGTGAAAGCACGGCCTCTGACTGCCACACCCTCGTGTTTCACGTGCAGCTGTGAGAGAAGCAGCGCCTCCGCGCGCGCACTCAATGCGTACGGAACTGTCGCGAGGAGGAGGGCGAGCACTCGCAGCATCAGCAACACACATCCACACACTCTCTCTCTCTCACACACACACACACACACACAAAGAGGTCAGCTCGCGTGCTGCGACTTGAATGGAAGATAACCGAGTGCCGCCAGACACAATAAAGGAAGCAAAGGAGCGGATCTCAGTGCCGTAACGCACGCCGGAGAGGTAGGAGATGATCAAACATTTGCTAATGCAGCTCAGTCGGTGATACTGACCTTGTCCTATAGTATAGACCATCTTCCAAAATCCACCATTCTTCACAGATGTGTGCACAGCTGGGTTGGCATGAACATGTCTCGAGCTGCATTTCGCGTTGAAATGCATGGTAATCTGTCATTAGAGAAAGACGCCGTCGACACGTTTGCATCATCACATCAATCTGCCCCTCCATATGGTGTCTTTTATTAGCTTGCTTATGAATGACAGTCGTTTTGATTAAGTGGTGCTTTGGATATCTCGTATATCTCTGTAAAACACCGAGTGTTTAAATGACGAGTCGTCAGTCATTCATAATATGGTGCAGGCAATTGATGCTGCCTGAGCTTCTGTGTCTTTTTCTCTCACGATGCATACCTGCCACAATGCATGCTTTTGTGGCAAAAGATGCCATCGATAGCATTGCCCGGTCTTACAAGGACGCGGGTGGCTACTCGCTATTTACATGAGGCAGATCTACATTTCTGATGCGCTTTATTAATGCACGAAAGGCGTCAATACTTACAACACCAATGGATTTTTAATAGACAGCGTGTCTGGCCTAATTTTTCGCCTTTTATCATGACGTAACGATGAGGTAATGCCACACTGAAATTTAAATTTCTGTTTGCTGTTATCTTTGTTTGTATTTGCTGTTTATAAGTACCCCGATGTGCTGATCCTTCGTGCATTGAGTGTGTTTATTGCGCACTTTACTAATGTTAAAGGCTCGGTGATGTTAAAATGACAACATCAATAACACATACATTTTGCATGTGGCTATATAAGGCTCTGATTTCTTCTCACTGTACACTTCATGACTATGACTGGGTGGAGGAAATTTAGTGGTTGCACACATGACATTAATTAGCATAGGTGTTTTCTTGCATGGAAATGAAATTGAACTCTCTAAATTGCTTGGATCACCTGCTTTTTGGATTAGGGATGTAGTGGTATTAAAATTGTGGGTAATATGAAAAGACAGTGTATTTTATAATAAGTACATTGTCTAAACATTTAAGTAATAATTGTAAATTCTATAGGGAAATAATTTTTACATTACAAAATTAAAAAAGTGCAGCATAAAAAAAAAAGATTTTCATTTGCAATGTTTAACCTTTTTTTAATCTTAAGCGAGTGTAAATGAAAGCAATAAATTAAAAGCAATTTAGTAAATATTTTTGACTAACCACAATGAATTAAACCATATGAACACGTGGAGAACAAACTCCACACAGAAATGCCAACTGACCAAGACCTGAACCAGCTAGAAATGTATAAAAAAGTACATTATTATATTGTTAAAATGTCAACATTTTTAATCTTATTACTTACTACTTCTTAGTATTTCATCAGTGTAGCTACTTCAGCAAATTGTGGATAATATATGAAAATACGATAAGTTTATTTTTGTAATAAGTACTTTATGTAAAAATATAAATAATAGTTGCAAATGCTATAAAAGAATAATTTTCACATTACAAAATCAAAAGGTGATTTTTATTCGCAATATTTAACCTTTTTTTTGAACCATAAGCGAGTGTTAAATAAAAAAGATATATTAAAAGCAATTTAGTGAACATTGTAACTAACCACAATGATTTAAACCATGGTATTTTGTGTGTTTTTATTTATGGAAATTGGTCGGGGTTTAAAAACACACTTATTATTATTTATTAAAATAAATCATAATTTAAATGAATAATCTGTTTAAAATGAACATATACTTTGGACACATACATTGGATCAGCACATGAAACTTGTAAAACAAGCAGAAACTTTCTTTAAATGCAGAGATAGACACACAAACTGCCTTAAGTTGCATATTGTAGGGCCTGCCATTTGAAGACTAGAAATTTCCCTCCATAAGACAGGAAACAGCCCCAGAAATTCCCACTGCTGACCTCAGTTCGGGGGCATGTTCCTCACATTCACCCTAGAGATTTGTGCGTTCGTGTAGAGGAAACCAGAGAAACTGCTCCCGAGGCTTCCTCCCACCGTAAATAATTCATGAAAAGGCCAATTAATATTAATCCATAAAAAGTACTGCATCAATACAAGTTGACCAGTGAAGGGGAAAGGCCCCTGTGTGTTTGACTGGAGTGTCTTTGCTTTTGTTGCTACGACAGACGATCCCGCAGCATAATCTGAATAAGGTTACACATCTCTAGACAGCAATGGGTGTGCCTCAAGCGTGCTGGACTTTATAGGATGCTATTTTCCACCAGAATATGGCCTAATTAAACCCTGCTTGTGGTTTTAACGTGAGAGACAATTGGCCCCAAAACATTATGTGGTATAACATTGCCCTCTAGTTGTAGTTTGACACAGACAGACAAAACTAATATAGAGTTGTCCATTGATCCCTAGAGGAATTCACATTGCCCTAGGGTGCAGATATTAAAATAAATGGGCATCGATAGACACTGTCATGCAATAGTAGACACTAATAGACACTTACAGAGTAAAGTGAACCCTGTAATGCAATCTGCACTTAAGTATTGCTTGAAATTACTTTTGCTGCTTG